CTTTTCCAAGGAGTCAGTTCTTCGCATCAGGTGGCCCAAGTATTGGAGTTTCAGCTTCAGCATCAGTCCTTCCAATGAATATTCAGGACCGATTTCCTTTAGGATGGACTGGTTTGATCTCCTTGCAGTCCAAGGGACTCTCAAGAGTCTTCTCCAACACCACAGTTGAGTTTAAAGATACAATGCCAGCCATCTAATTTGTACCTCCCTCATTCTTGAATGCTTTTGCCTCTGTGTCCCTTTCATACCTAGCAACACCAATACCAGCTTTGGCTAGAGTTTTTGGAAGGCATCAATAAGGTCAGTTAAAATCAATTCCTTCTGCACAGAGCCAAGTACCAGATGACCAGAGGCACTGACATCTTCCGGTGTGATAGAATTATGATCAGCAAGACCTAACACCAGCTTTGGTTTTGCAGAAGGAAGACTATGCCTTGACATTCATGGCCCTCCCCTACCATTGTGCTTGGAACTCCAGAGGATTATTTTAGGGCAGTGATTCTCAAAGTGGGTTCCACAGACCAGCAGCATCATTATCACCTGGGAACTTGCTAGAAATGCAAATTCCCGCCCCCACCCCCCACCCAGACCTAGGTGGGACCCAACACTACATGTTAACAAGCAGTCAAGTCATCTAGAGGATTCGGATGCATGTTCTGGTTTGGAAACCACAAATCTGAGGTTTCACAGCCATTAGGTACTATATGTACTTAAATCAGCCTTCCTGTTGTCCAGGTCTTTGGTTTCAAACAATCCCAGAGAAAAGGACTTTTAAACAACAGTCATTACTAATTTTTAACAAGAGGAAATTTTAGGAGAAAAAGAAACCCTTACTCATTATTAGGTTACAGTTCAGAGTGTGTCCAATTAAACATGAAGTGGTCAACCTTTCTGTTTTTTAATATATCATTTTTTCTTTTCGTTTTCAGCTTTTCATTGGAGTCACATACATACAGAAATGTTCACGTATCCGAAGTGTACAGTACATGGAATGTTCATGAAATGAGTATATCTAAGTACCCAGCACCTGGGTGCAGACATTGAACACTGCCGGCCGTTCAGATGCCCTTTTCTGGCCACTATCCCTGCCTCATTCGTTTCTTTATTTTTTTTAAATTGTAGGAGTATTTCAATCAAATAAAATTATTTTAAAGAAAAGAGAAAAAAAGGAAAGTGAAGTCATTCAGTCGTGTCCAACTCTTTGCGACCCCATGGACTGTACCATACCAGGCTCCTCTGTCTGTGGGATTTTCCAGGCAAGAAATTTTAAATTTTAAAGAAATTTTAAAGAAAGTCACCACACACTAGAATTATTACGGTTTTCGCTTATTCCCTTCGGCACATACATTTTATGTAGTTTAATATTTTAGTTACAATGTACACATGTTCCCAGTTGTTAACACATGCTTCATAAGCATCACTTTAAAAGAGTCCAAGGACTTCCCTGATGGTCCAGTGGTTAAGAATCCACCTTCCAATGCAGGGGACATGCGTTGGATCCCTGGTCAGGAAGTTAAGATCCCACATGCTGCAGGGCAAATAAGTCCATGCACCCAATGAAAGGTCTCATGAGCCACAACTGAGACCCACCGCAACCAACCAAATAAATAAATAAAGGGATCCAACATGATACCATCATATTAAAGTCTCTATTTATTTCACCATTCTCCCAAATTTAGGAGAGTTTGCTTCTAACTGTTCGCTTCTATAATGAACCTCTCCGGGCCTCCTGCTTCCTTCTTCTCTGGAATGAGACTGCCTTAGAATCAGCTCTCAGAAGTGAAATTACTGAGTCAAAGGCTGACTATTTTACTGGGGCTCTTTATTATTTGTACTGTTTTTTACATAAAAACTTCATTTAGTTTTGGGTAATACTTCTGCACATTTCCGAGCTCCTCCCAGCATCTTATGTTTCTGGATAGGGATTCTTCTCTCCTGCCCTCCTGTGAACTCAGACTTTTGGTAACCAAGGGAAGGAGTGGGGAATGCCAGTAAATTACAGCCCCTTCCCATTAAGCTGCTGTGCACCTGGGCAGGGACATCAGGCAGGAGCCCAGACCACCCTCTCCCAGGGGCACATGGGGAGGAGGGGGCTTTCAAGGATAGTGGAAGCCTTCCCTGGGGACCATCCCCCTCGGTGGCTCAGATGGTAAAGAATCTGCCTGCAATGCGGGAGACCCGGGTTCAATCCCTGGGTTGGGAAGATCCCCTGGAGAAGGAAATGGCAACCCACTCCAGTACTCTTGCCTGGAAAATCCCATGAATGGAGGAGCCTGGTAGGCTACAGTCCTTGTGGTCGCAAAGAGTCGGACACGACTGAGCGACTTCACTCTTTCACTTTCCCCAGGGAGCCCCAGAGGAAGCTGTTAGTGGCCACTGGAGGTCGAACAAGCCTGTTCCCCTCCTCAGGAGAGACAGAGATCGTGATGGAGACAGTTGGAAGGGAGTAGGACCCAGTTAAAGCCACAGAGTCCAGCCGCCCAGAGTGATTGCAGGGCTGTGTGTGGGCCGGGCAGGGCAGGCGTGTTCCTTATCCGCGACTGTTGTTCTCGTTCCCAGGGACTCTCCTCTTCCCCTTGAGGCATGGGCAGCGTCAAGAGGGTAGGATGGGTCTCAAGAGAGCTCAGAGCTGGGAGGTCTGAGCAGAGAGCACGCACCTGCGGCCATGAGACACTGGCAGGCCCCCTCCCCCCAAACCCCAGCCCAGGCCATGAGCCAAAAAGGTGGGATGGAAAAGACATCAGGCTGCGGGGTGTAAATGAAAACGTTCATTCTAGTCATCCTGGAGACAGTATAACAGTGGTGGAAAGCACAGTTTCCAGAGTCAGTTCTCCGAGTTTCCTTGTGGGAAATATAGTACCCAGCTCACAGGGTTCTTATGAGGATGAAATGAGTTAACATGAGGAAACACTTAAGCACATCCAGTAAACCTACCCTGTCCACACCGTGGGGGCCTATCTATGCTTTCACTTGAAGACATAGCCCGTGGAGAAGGGTAAGATGTGTCTGCCATGCCCTTCCCACCATCACTCATGAAATCCTAACCCTGTCCCCAGCTTCTTCCTCCCCACCCCCACTATTCATTCATTAGTCCATTTCTGGTGGAGGGGGGATGAGGACCCCGGAGCAGATCAAGTCCATGGCCGCCACACTGGCAACTTCTATCTCAGCCTCCTCAGCTCCAGCTGGATGTTGAGGGGACACTTCCCTGGTGGCTCAGATAGTAAAGAATCTGCCTGCAATGCAGGAGATGCTGGGTTCGACCCCTGGGTCTGGAAGATCCCCTGGAGAAAGGAATGGCTACCCACTCCAGTATTCTTGCCTGAGAATCCCTTGTACAGAGGAGCCTGGTAGGCTACATTCCATGGGGTCACAAAGAGTTGGACACGACTGAGCGACTAACATAGCCACACACACACATGGAAAACTAACATTGAACATTTGTTTCCCATGTGCTGGACCCCCTTGGATACTTGGATGTAGGCAGTCTCACACATATGGATATATTATCCCCATTTTACAGAAGAGGAAACTGAGGCTAAAATAAATTAAGCAACTTGTCTTCTCTTGAGCATCCACTAGTGCCCAGCATGGTGCTGGCCACTGAAAGGAATCAAACAGGACAGAAGACCTGATTTTTCTCTTAAAGAAGTGTCCACTAGGGCAGGAAAAACAGGACTGGCCCAGAAATTCCTGCTGTGGTCCACATGGATACCAACTCAGTGCTTAGTGACGTGGCTCAGTGGAGTACGGTGGGGATGGAGTGGAGGAAATGAATGAGGATGCGGCCAAGAGAGGTGTGGTGGGGCTTGGACTGGGGGCAGAATGAGGCAACCACTGCAGTCGTTAAGGGGGACAGGGAGCGGGACGCGCCAGGGCCCGTCTTGCATCCCGAGACAGTGCTGATTTTAAATCTCCTTCTCCCTGGCCTGGCAGACAAAGCCCAGGATCTCCCCCCACAAACCCTTCCACTCTCTATCCTCATGCATGACCCCCCTCACGGGTCCTCATGGGTCAGCTCCTCACCTTACCCTTGTCTCTCACTCATCCCTGGTCTGAGAAGCTGAGCACAGAACAACGGACTGTGTAAGCATACCTGTTTGGTTCAGCCTGTGGAGTTGCCTCAAAGGCAATATCCCCTCAGTCTTTCCATCTCTAAAATGGGACTAATGTGCATTTCCTCCCACTTAAGAGGCAATGGTGATACATGTCCCTGGAGAAGGCAGCTGCTATTTGAGCCTGGCTTCATCCAATGAGCACCTACTGTGTGCCTGGCATTGATAGAGCAAAGATGAACAGCAAATGGTTCAGCTGTCAGCGACTCCAGAGCCCAGTTAGCAGAGGCAAACAAGGAACATGGTGACAGGCACATAGATGGGGCCGAGGGTGGGGGCCTGGGGGCCAAAGAGAGGCAGGGAAGACCTCACAGAGAGTCTGCCAAGTGGGCGTCCTAGGGGTGAGGACAGGCATTTTAGATGGAGAGGTAGGGGCATCCACATTCAAGGGCAGGGTGCAGTACCACAGCACAGAATTCACCCGGGGGGCAGTAGGACACTGTGGTGGTGACATCAGTCTGGAGCCAGACTGCTAGGATTCCAAACCCTCATTCTGTTTGATCTTCCAGACATCCCTAAGGTCTCTGAGCCTCAGTTTCCTCCTAGGTGTTACTATCCCTCTAGGTCTGACTTTTTTTTCAGGGTAAAAGGAGTTATGCACATAAAGCGCTTAGAAGCCAGCCTGGCATGGGCTCGCTGCCAGATAACATTAGAGATGATGATGAAATCCGAGGTTGGAATGCCCAAATAGGTCCACATAACAGACAGGGCAGGAACTCCAGCCTTAGGGGCTGGAAATGGCTAGAAAGTCCAAGATAGCTGAGGTGAACCCCGAAGGGGCAAATTTGTAGACATCAGGCCCTTTTAGCCGTCCAGTCGATTTCAACATCATATTAAGGAAAAAAGTATTTGCATGAGGAGGTGTTTAAGCGTCATTCCTCAGTTCTACTCCCTCCTTTCGGCAGAACCGGGAAGGCAGTCCGTGATGCCACCGGGATGAGGAGGGGGCCCTCTGCCCGCCGTCTCCTGCTCGCTGCAGGCTGGGTCGGCCCCTGGATTCTCCAAGTCAGCTGCCCTGAGCGCGAGGGAGGCCGCAGAGAGACACAGCTTTTCCTGCAGCTCTCTGGCAGGGAGGAAAGCCGCGGTCAAGGGGACCTCAGAACCGGAAGCCTCCGGGCCCGAGGACTCGACCACCGAGGACTCTTCAGCGCGGCCGGCCCGTCCGAGGCCGAGCGCCACCAGAGGGCGCGCTAGATCTCAGAGTGCGCGGAGCTGCGGGCGCGGGTGGGGCGGCCGCGGGTGGGCTGGTGCGCGCCGTGCGCGCCTGGCTGGCATGGCGTGGGGCCGGGGACCAGAAAGAGAGCCTGCGTCCCCAGAAGTCAGCCCGGAAACTCAAGGGCCAGGTTTTCCAGGGACCTAGTCCGGAGCAATCAGGGCAGAGGACTTACAAAAGTGATACTGATCATACTAAATGTACATATTGCTCACTATGTACCACACACTGCAGTTAATCTTCACTAGAACCCTAGGAGAGTGATGCTGCTGCTGCCCCACTTTAGAGATGGGGAAACTGAGTCTCAGCACATCTGAGATTTGAACTCCCAGGGACGGTCACAGACAGAGCCTGTGTCCTTATGGACCACGCTGTACTATCGCTCTAGCAATGCATTCTCCTCCTTCTGCCTGAGGGTTCATCTCTTTCTCACTGGCAGGTCACTGGTTAAAGCAGCTCAACCCTTCCCTGCAGGAAAGAAGTGCGGCGCTACATTTCCACTCTGCAGGTCGGCAACACTCCAGCTGTAAAACTCCAAGACCACACCGCTGCCTCCAAGAGATTCTGATTTAATTAGCATTTACTGAATGCTTACTGTGTGCCTTACTGTGGGCTTCCCTTGTGGCTCAGCTGGTAAAGAATCTTCCAGCAATGTGGGAGATGGATCTGGGTTCGATCCCTGAGTTGGGAAGATCCCCTGGAGAAAGGAAAGGCTACCCACTCCAGTGTTCTGGCCTGGAGAATTCCATGGACTGTGTAGTTCATGGGATTGCAGAGTCGGACACAACTGAGCGACTTTCACTTCACTCACTACTGTGTGCCAGGACATCAGTCCCACACCATATCAGTCCCACACCATACTGCCAATAATGTGTGGATTTTGTGTCCTCATTTCCATTTTATGCGTGAGTCAGGAAGGTAAGAGACTTCTATGAGGTCACACAGTTATCCCTGACCACCTCTGCCACTCCCACCACCAACGTGCATTCATTCAGCAAATCTTTATCCAGCACTTACTCTGTGCCAGGCACTGTTTAGATGCTGGGGACTCAACAGGACTGATGAAAACTCCTGCTTTCTTGGAGCTGAGCTTCATCAGCTTGGGAGTCCCCGGGGGCATTAACTCAGTTCTTGTTTCTAGATGCCTCATGAGAAGAGGCCATGTGGATTGAACAGAAAGGAAACCAAGCTTTCTGCATAGGGTGCCACCTATGAGATAACACTCCTGACCTTTCCTGGAAGAAAGGGCACAAATGGTTATTATGGGTAGAATTGTGTCCCCTCAAGATGATATATAGGCATTCCTGATAGCTTAGTTGGTAAAGAAACCGCCTGCAATAACAAAGGTCCATCTACTCAAAGCTATGGTTTTTCCAGTAGTCATGTATGGATGTGAGAGTTGGACTATAAAGAAAGCTGAGCGCCAAAGAATTGATGCTTTTGAACCGTGGTATTGGAAAAGACTTTTGAGGGTCCCTTGGACTGCAAGGAGATCCAACCAGTCAATCCTAAAGGAAATCAGTCCTGAATATTCATTGGAAGGACTGATGCTGAACCTGAAACTCCAATACTTGGGCCACCTGATGCGAAGAACTGACTCATTGGAAAAGACCCTGATGCTGGGAAAGACTGAAGGCAGGAGGAGAAGGGGATGACAGAGGATGAGATGGTTGGATGAAATCACCAACGCAATGGACGTGATTTTGAGTAAGCTCTGGGAGTTGACAATGGACAGGGAAGCCTGGCGTGCTGCAGTCCATGGGGTCGCAAAGAGTCAGACATGACTGAGTGACGGAACTGGAAGATGATTTATGAAAATCTAACCCCCACATTCAGGAATGTGACTTCATTTGGAAATACGGCTTCTGCGGATGTAATCAAGTTAAGATGAGGTCACAGCAGAGTACGATGGGCCCTCATCCAATGTGACTCATGTCCTTATAAGGAGAGAAGAGACGGACACACACATTCACACACACGCGGGGCAGGGCCACGTGACGGTGGGGACACAGGCTGAAGAGCTGCCGCTGTATGGCAGGGGACTCCAAGGCCTGCAGGCTTTCACCAGAAGCTAGGAAGAGGCAAGCAAGGCTCTTGCCTCTAGGTTTCAGAGGGCCTGGTCCTGCTGAGACCCTAATTTCAGACTTCTAGCTTCCAGAACTGTGAGACAGTACATCTCTGCTGTTTTAAGCCACCCAGTGTGTGGTAGTTTGTTACGGCTGCCCTAGGAAACTAATGGTATTAACATTTTCTCCCATCAATGGGGATAAACCTGGCTTATCCTCCCACTGGTTTCTTCACCCCGTCCCCACAATGGTCAAGGTCAGGGTTTTCCTGGTGTAGAGCTCGCTGGCTGCGACAACATCAATCCCCAGCCTGCGGTCTCAGCACGGCCGTCCTCCGCCTGTCTGAACTAGCCCATGGTTCCCCCCAGGATGACAAAGGTGCCTCCGGTTGGCAGAGGCAGGGCAGATAGCAGGCAGGTGTGCCCAGGCCCCCACACCTCACCTGCCAGCCTGGCTCTGCCAACCGCACTCAGCATCGCCAAAGCCCCGGTTACTGTTGTACTGCTTGTTGATTCCCGGGGCGGGGAGATGCCGAGGGAGGGGCAGCCTCACGCCAGTCCATCCAGCTGTGTCCAGGTGGCCTACGACAGTGGCAGGCAGAGGGCACGAGCCTCGTGGGGAGTCACACACGGCCCCGCCCCCGTCTCAGCAGCCACCCCACAAAGTGCCTTCAGGTAGCTGTCATAGAGCCTGGTTTGCCTGAGAGCTCCAGGTTCTGGGAGGCAGAATACTAACTCTGTTGGCATAGCATGTTCTGGTTTGGTGATGCGAAAAGTGCCAGGTCTCAAAACTGTAGAGACCCAGTCCCTCGCGGTGAAGGTGCGGACACATAGGGACCTAGTGGCCTCTGTTATCCTGGGAGGTTGGGGCCCCTGCAACCCTCACTTGGACTCTCCTGGGTGGTGCTATAGGCCTCCCTGTGGCGCTTCAGCTCCCTGAAACGAATGGGCAGCCTGACTTTCAGAGGCAGCCCTGAGAGACCGCTAATTTGGTGAGGGCAGGGGCTCACTGTGGCTTCCTCCATCTAAGGAAGCTGGGCACGTGGCCCACCCTGCCCACTGCTGGGTCCTTCTGGATCATCTGCTCCAGTTTACACGGGAAGGAAAAGAGCAGAGGTTCCATTCAGATGTCCCACCTGGGACTGGGGACAGCTTTTGGCTGAAACCTCCCCTGGGGTGGATATTTCAGAAATCAGAGCAGGTTGGTAGGCGGCAGCAAGGGGAAGGATGCAGAGAAGAGACCTCCACAGCATTTGGTAAGAGAACGCTTGTCTTCCCTGTGAATAGGTACCCGATGAATGGGGTGAGGATGAGGAAGGGAGGACGATGCAGGGAAGCTGGCATGGCTCTCACCAGGCTCTAGTTCTCATCAGGCTCCCCCCACCCCACCCCCCGCCAGCTGCATGGTTTCCCCTTGGACACCCCTATTCCTTCCCTCCCTTCTTCCCTTCCTTCCTCCTCTGTTCACTCATCATGTAACAAAACTAATGAGCTCTACTCTGTACCGGATATTCCTCTAGGTGCTAGGGATTCAGCAGTGAGAAAACAGACAAGACACCCTGCCTTTGTGGAATTTACATCCTCATGGACGCATCTCTCCCTTTGCCTTTTACCAACTCATTCCCTGCATTCCTCTCTTACAACCTGCCCAGCTGCTGGCAGCCATGATGAACGCCAATTGAAGAGTCTAAGCCTCATTCTCCCATCCAAAGCTGTCAATTAAGTGTCTACAATGCGCGGGTACCATTTTAGGCCCTGGACATCTTGGGCATTTGTCATGAGGCCACACCTCTCTGGTGAAGAGCAATTGAAGAGAAGTACCACTCCCCGCCTTGCAAATTGTGCGCAGAATCCCAAGGACAGTGGAAAAGCCAGTATTAGGCCAAAGTATGGAGCTAGTTTGGAGAGCCAAGGAGGCCTCCCCCTCCCCGCTGGCTTCCTCTCCTGGCCCAGGCCAGGATCACGCCTTGGCGACCACGGCCCCCTCGCACCCTTTGGAGCCCAGCAGACCACAGTCGGAAGCTGGGCTGCACTGGGCCCTGCGCCTCCTGGGAGTTGTCTCCCCGCCACTGCAGCCAGGCTGCTCCAGACTCAGGCAGCGCCCCCCCCATCCCTCCCTCCCCACTTTAATTAACTCCACCCGGATGCGCTGACTCACTCGTGGGCTCCGTGACCCGCCTGGTTGCAGAGGACACCTCCTCAGACACAATTACATTTGAGGATGAAGCATTTCCTCTGGGCACAGAATGAGCCCGTGAAAGCTTTTGCAGGGGGAGCGGGGAGGGGGTCTGTTTGGAGATGACTCACTGAACAGGCCTGGAGGTGAGGGTGCGTCTCACTCAGACATTATCCGCCCGGTGGCTTCATGACTCTATGGCAGTTTCTCTTCTTGGGGGGAAGAAGGAATGTGTCTACCTTTCCAGACAAAAGGGGCCTAATATACGCGTTGACGGGGTCATATCCAGCCCCAGCCAAAACACCTATGCTTAGAATTTCTTTTTTTTTTTAACACCTATGCTTAGAATTTCCGAAGCTCCAGGTGGCAACCAACAGGTCCATATGTATTTAACATGCTCTGTATGCCCGGGGTGACACAAAAGACATGGAATATGATCCTTTATCCTAGACTTGGGGCAAGCATCAAGGACTCCAGACTCCGTAACATCCCTCCCTAATATCCCTGAGATATTCTTAGTCCCATTTTCTGGATCAGGAAATCAAGGCTGGGAGAGACCAAGGGACCTGCTTTCTCAGGAACCACACTGCCTTGAAGAATGAAATTAGCCAAGAATGAGTCTGGGGTCTAGCACGGGTGACTGTGGAATAGCCCAGAAAAAATAGCCCAGTCCCCCTTCCTGACTTGTATGTTGAAGATGCAGGAGAGAAAAGTAAGACATCAGCCTGCAGGGCTGCGATGGGACAGTGTTCTGGTGGAGGTCTCTGTTGCCTTCAAAATCCAGCCCCTTGCAAATCTCTGGGGACCAGCCAGCCAGACCCCATGTCGGGGCCAGTCCAGTAGCTGTGCCTGGCAGCGTGGAGGTTGGGGGGAAGGTCATTGGTGTTTCCTTTGCTGGGAGCCAGCATCTCTGTCTAAATTAAAGCAGAGGAGTTTGCATTTTAATGACAATTTTTCCAGGTTTGTGCCACTTTGAAGTGGCTGTTATTAAGAATACCGGACAAGAGAGGTCCAGCGGGAGATGTGGTACATATTTAATTCGAAATACACTCAGACACGTTTCCTATGAAGCTGATAGGGATGTATCCATCCACCCATCTGACCACCGAGGTACTTCCTGCCCAGGGTTCAGGTGCAGGGAATATCAGTGAACTAGACACACACAGTGCAACTCCTCCACAGCTAACCGTCTGATGGACGTGCTGTAAGTCAAAGAGATACTCTGTACAAAAAGGCAAAAATCCAATCCGCTCCACCCCTAACCTCTCTCTAGCCCTGAGCAACAAGATTAGGGCTTAAGCTCCACGGGAGGAGAAATGTCCCTCTGAACAGACCCTGCAGGGGCAGGAGAGAGGAAGAAAGGAGGAGGGGGCTGCTGCTTTGGCCATTGCCTGGGTGGCAACTCGGTGTGGGAGAAAGGCTCCTTCTGAACTGTTTGCTTGGAGCCCTTGGCCTTGAAGTTGACCTAACAGAGATACCTTGGACCTTAGGGCCTGTCGACGCTAGCTTTGTGTCCTGCCTGGCTTCATCACTTAATAGCTGTGCAGCTTCGAACAAATTACTTAGCCTCTCTGAGCCTGGAGTTCTTGATATGCAAAACGGAGTCATACCTGCCTGGAAGAGTTGCCGGGCAGATCAGCGAGTTAGCAGCAGCATTAAGCATCCGTAATAATAGCTAATAGTATGTAGCCTGTGCTGAGGGCTTCACCTGAATTCTTATTTAATGATCCTTCTCTCTGTCTTCCCTGGTAGCTCAACTGGTAAAGAATCCACCTGTAATGCAGGAGACCCTGGTTCGATTCCTGGGTCGGGAAGATCCCCTGGAGAAGGGACAGCCTACCCACTCCAGTATTCTGGCCTGGAGAATCCCATGGACAGAGGAGCCTGGAGGGCTAATGTCCATGGGGTTGCAAAGAGTCAGACAGGACTGAGTGACTTTCACTTTCTCACTGTCTTTCTTCCTCTCTCTCACACACACATTCATGAATGGATGCTATTATTACTTCACTTTACAGATGAGGAAACTAGGTCTCGGGGAACAGGTAGCCAGCACACAGGTAGCTGCACAGGTATTGAGAGACCTCACTGGGATTTAAGCCCCATGTCTCTGGCCCCAGGGCCTGTGCCCAATATTAATCCTTCTCACCACCTGCATGCACAGCACAGACTGACAGCAGGCTAGTCCAGAGGCTGGACTCCTCAAACCCGCGGAGAATAACCCCCAGTTGGATGAGGGGGAAGAAAACATAGTCTAAATGAAACTATCTCCTTTCAGCCAGCCCTCTAGCTTGTTCCAAGGGGCGGGGGCCGGGGGGGTGGGGGACGGGAAGGGGAGGCTCCCTCCCTGCTGACTCCCCGGCAGTGGCACCTGGAGGCCCAGCCCAGGGGCGCTGCGGGCAGTGTTTGCACCAGCACGTGCCTGTGAGCGTGTGTGTTGGGGGCGATGTTATTCACAGCCGCTGGCCAACAGTAAATAAGACAGTGGGGCTTGATTCATGAGGTCTGACAGGAAATCTATAGCATGTGGTGTCTATAATCCGCACGCTACGACGTGGCAAAATGAAAGAACAACAGTCCAATTACGGGATCCTGGTTGATCCCGGGCACACTCCTCAGACCGTGCAGGGCCTGGTTCAGCCTGGCGGGGGGACAGCCAGTAGGAATGGCCAGTCTGATGCCCCCAGGGTCTGGTCATGTGGACCCCAGCCCTCCCGGAAGCGGCAGAGACGGTTGCCTGGGACACGGGAAGCGGTGGTCTCGGGGTCGGCGATCCCAGCCAGCTCGCTGAGCACCTAGTGTCCTGGCATCTTGAGGCCTCACCCCAGAGGAGCCCTTCAGCAGACAAAAAAGCTCCTATCCTCTCCGCCTCCTACTTTAGAACCCAGGAAGCCCAGGGTGTTGCCCTGGCTGCGCGAAGTCATTTCAAGGTCTGGCCTTTAAAGTACTGAGAGAAGGCTGGCTTCTAGGGGCTCAGCAGGCTAGGGGTGTTAACACTCCCTTAGAGAACACACAGCGGTTCCCTCCCAGGTGTGACAGTTATCCATGTAGCAGTTTTCCTTCACCTTTAGGGCAGAACCTGTAACTCTTCTACCCTTTCAGCCCTGATAACGGCCCTGACAATGTACTGCATCCAATGAACATCCATGAGTGAATGTGACCTTATTTAGAAACAGCATCTCTGCAGATGTCATCAAGTTAAGGTGAGGTCCTGCTGGGTTAGGGTGGCCCTAACATCCTTATATATGTGGCTCAGCTGGCAAAGAATCCACCTGCAGTGTGGGAGACCTGGGTTCGATCCCTGGGTTGGGAAGATCCCCTGGAGAAGGGAAAGGCCACCCATTCCAGTATTCTGGCCTGGAGAATTCCATGGACTGTGTAGACCATGGGGTCACAAAGAGTCGGGCACGAAGAGCTACTTTCACTTTCAAACATCCTCATAAGAAGAGGGAAATCTGGACGTGGAAAGACAGACACAGAGAAGGCCACGTCAGACAGGGGCGGAGATGGGAGCCGTGCATCCAGAAGCCGAGGAATGCCAAGGATTCGGGTCGCCACCAGAAGCTAGGAGAGAGGCACAGAACAGACCTTTCCTCAGAGTCTGCAGAGTGAGCACGGCCCTGCCACACCTTGATGTGGGACTTCCAGCCTCCAGAGTTGTGAGAATAAATGTCTGTTGCTTGAAGTCCCCCAGCTTGTGGTACTGTGTGACAGCAGCCTTAGGAAATGAGCACAGGTAGTATCCTGCACACAGCAAATACCCAAGCAGACGAATGTGTGCAGGGTGCCTGAAAGGTCTAAATTCAAGTCCTGCCTCCACCATTTAATTGGGTCTCTCTGATCCTTCTCAAGTCATCCTGCAAGGCCTTCCCTGCACGGCAGCCAGAGCAAGGGTTTAAAAGCATAGATCTGATAGTAACAGGGCAGGTTTTGAGCACATGCTATGTTCCAGGCACTGTTCCCATCCTTTACAGGCAAGAGTTACATTGATTTCATCCTCACAGTTACCCTTTGAGGTAGGTACCATTACTAATCCCATTTTACAGATGAGGAAGCTGAGCCCAGAGAAGCTATGAAACACCCAAAGAAACACAGCTAATAAGTTCAGGCACTGAAATCCAGGTAGCCTAATTCTAGAATCCAGGCTATCAGCCACCACATTTGTCGTTGCCCCATTTAAAATCACCCAGTGACTTCACATCACACTTAGAATAAGATAAAAACTCCTTACAGTGACTGACAAGGTTTTGCCTGATCTATCTCTGACCAAACCTACCTCTCCAAACTCCCTGGTACATGCTTACAAATTCTTTATTATTCCTCCTGTTATGAAATGGAGCCTAATTCCTGTCTTCTTGAATTTGAACTGGCCCCGGTGGCTAGCTTAGTTAATAGGATGAGGCAGAAGTGATGACATGTGATTTCTAAAGCCAGATCAGAAGCAGCCACTGGCTTGGAATATTCGCTCTCAGAACCCAAGCGCCATGCTGTGAGGACGCCCAAGCAGCAGAGACTCATGTGGGGAGGACCCGAGGCTGCTGGCTGCCAGTTCGGCCACCAGCCAGTACCACTTGCTAGATTGTGGGGGAGCCATCCACTCCAGCTCAACCCCAGTTTGAGATTTGCAGAGCAGCCATAAACCATTCTCCCCAAGCCTTAAACCCATGTTTCAGATTTGTGAGCAAGATGAATGATTTTTGCTATTTCAAAACACTACGTTTGGGGAGGGGTTGGTTACACAAGACTGGGATCCAGACAGCCTGGCTTCAGACTCCATCCTCGGAAGCACTGCATCACACCATCTCACCCATCCTTAAAACCACTCCAGGAGTTCACACCAAGTTCAGAAAAAACCACCAGCTCCTCATCATGACCTACAAGGCCCTGTGGATCCATCTGTCCATTTTCTTCGTGGACCACACTCCTCCTCACTGCCCTCCACCCGTTTCTGTCCCTCAACCTTCTCAGGACCCCAGGACTTTGCACAGGCTGTTTCCTCTACCTGGGCTGCTCTTGGCACCCCTGGGTCATTTTCACACTTCGTGCGGATGTCAAAAAGTCCTGAACCGCCTTCCTTGCCCACCCTGTCTAGATGACCCCACCGTCTCCCCAGCCCCTATCTCCCACCACCCTGTTAGATTCTTCTGTTGCCGTTTATTCTACTTTGCAGGGATCTCGCTATTTACTCGGTCACTTTCCCATCTCCCCACTAGAACATAAGTGCCTCAAGTATAGGAACTTGGCTGTCAAGTTCGCTGCTGCAATCCCAGGACCTGGCACCATGCCTGGCATGGAGTAGGTGCTTGGCAAGTATTTTCTTGATGGGTGAATGAGCAAATGAATGAATGAAGAGTCCACGCAGTTACTATTTATCAAGTTCTTACTCTGTGCCAGAAAACATGCTAAGTAACGTGTTTTCTAACATGTAACTTATAGCTCTGTGGCATGGATATTACTCTTGCCATTTTGCAAATGAGGAAATCAGAGCTCATTTGGACCGAATTCAAACCAGGACACTATGGTCCCATAGCCCATGCTCCTAGGCACTTGTTTCCTCATCTGGATGAAAGGGGATGATCCTATCACTTACCTCTCAGGGTAGCCGGTGACAGGGGAAGGACTCAGGTGGAGGTATGTGTCAGGTGCTGTGTGTCGGGTGAAGGGATGCCTTTAGTGATCGGCAGTGTTTTCCTGATCTTGGAAAGGCCCGGAGCTCAGTGGGCTTCTCCCTCAGACCTGCCTAGGGCTCTCGCCAAATTTCCCCTGATCCCCGATCTTGTTTGTGATGTTCCTTCTTTCCTGCTAGGATGCCACCTCTTCTGAAAGGTGCGTGATCTGGAGAGGCAGAGGGGAGAAGGTGGCTCACACCCACCTGGGGCGGCATCCTGGCTCACGGCTCACTCCTCACACCCGTTCTGCTGCCCATAAGCCCTCCTCTGTTCTCTGGTGGGTCCGTGTGTTAGCCCCTCCTCCGCACATACACCCTGGCAGGTCTACGGTGAGGCTGAGGCTTACCCCACTGTACACCTTTGTGGCCTCCTCCACCACCTCTCCTCTTGTGTCCCAAACAGCCTGGCATTCCGAAACTCCACCCTGCGGTCCCAGTCAGCTCATGAACAAGGTTAGCAGCCTCCCAAGGTGTCTTCAGGGCCCATGAGCTCTGCCTCCCAGAGCACCACCTCCTACGCCATTTTCCAACAGATTAGGGGCTTTCCCTTTAGAAAAAGGTGAGTCTGGGTTTGTTAAAAGCATCACCCAAGAATTATCATCTAGGGACATTCTCAGATTCTCCCCAAGCCTGGGGTACCCAGTCTCTTTCAGTTTTGAATGTTCGCCACTTGCTTGCCCGAGTGGTTTAAAGGAGATAACTTGACCACTAGAGGTAGGTTCAGATTCTGGCTCTGAGAGACAGCGGGTGAGTTTATTCACCTCTCTGAGCAGGGATTAAGATCTCTGTTGAGAAAGGCAATTTTGATCAATTAAATGCTTTGTAAAGAGCTAGCATGGAGCCTCTGTTCTCCACTCTACTGTGGAACCCCGAATCCATCCCTTCCTGGGACCCTACAGGCTGGAAGCATTTGAAAGCTCTTAAGCCAAGTCTGTCTGCCTCTCAATCCTGACCAAAGGGCCTCGAAACAAGTTTCCAGTGGTGTTGGAAGAGCTGGGAAGTCTGGGGGGACAGGAGGCCACAGAGAGTGATCTCAGGAACTGGTTATCGGGGGCCTGGGCAAAGGGATGTGAATCTGAGGTTCTGTGAAGGAGGCTGCAGTGTGGTATGTGGAGAAGGGGCGAGCCTCAGCCCCCAGCCTGAGAACCGGTGAAGGAAGACCTGGGATGTTGTCTAGATAGGCGAGCACCACGCAGGCTTCTCTGCTGAGAAACGCCAGGTCTCAGAAGGTGCCAGGCACATGTAGATTAGAAGCGGGGGAGGGGTGGTCAGGCAATCACAGTCAATCTCGATTAACCCACCCAGCAGCTCCCTGGGTGCGGGGCTGGGCCGAGTCTGGGTTCTTCACGTGCCACCTCTCCAGCCCCGAGACAGAGCAGTAATTACACCCATTCTCGGGAGGAAACTGAGGCTCAGAGAGAATAAACCATTCAACACACTCATGAGAGTGCAAGCATCCCCACTCAGGTCCCCCCACTGCCCATGTGACTTCTGTCACCTCTGAGTCAGCGGACCTCACCCGAGGCAGGGGCCACCAGCTAGCTACTTTACACCTAATTTTCCACCCCCAGGTCCATCATCCCTGATGATTTTCAACACTGCTGAGCAGAAGACTCACCCCAGAAGGGCAGGCGGCTTTATCTTTGATTATGTTGGCTGTCCCGACTTCCTAATAAAAGCTGCTCACCAGATGGATGGGAGGGGCAGGAAGACAGGCAAGAAGGGAAGCACTCACACCCGCACACACATTTCAGTTCACAGCCCTGGCAATCCCACGAGTGGGCCTGACTCTCTCCACTGTGCGGCGAAGGTCACTGAGCCCAGAGAGGTCAAGCTTCTTGTCTAAGGTCACAGGAACTGATTGACATGGAGCCAAGAAGCCAGGCCATAGCCTTTGACCCGGGAATTCCCTCTAGTATGTCATTAAAAACACCGAGCAAAAAAAATGAAATTCAGAGTTAAAGGAAAGAAGAAGCGTGCGTCAGGAGCTCAGAGGGTGGACATGGGGACACTGACGTCTGTCCATCTCCTGGCCCGGACTGCAATCATTCCGAGGTCTGTTATCTGAGGCCATGTGCCCCCTGCCCCTGGGCAGCACAGCCAGAGCCATCCTTCCAGGTCGTTTGGGAAGGATGCTCTCCTTGGGGGGGATGGCCACTCGCCAGACCCTGCTGTCCTTTCCCTGCCTCCTGGGCTCTCCAGCCTGCCCCCCAAATGTTATCTGTCAGTACACGGTAATTAGAGATGAGGCACGCTTGATAAAGATTGCTGCCTGCCCCGAGACGGAGCTGCCCTCTCGGACGTGTCTAATTAAAGTCCTGATTGATAAGATGAAGAAATCCCACCCGGACGGGATGTGTGCCGGCCTCTCCCCTCCTCTGCGCGTGCAGCCTCTTCATTACGGTGGCGAGGGAGAGAGATATAAAGGACCCCAGGAAATGCTCCTACAAACCAATCAATATGTCCTTTTGTGCGACGTGGTGGGGCTGGGGCGCGCGGCTCAGCCTTTTGAACCCTTTCCGGGGCCGCGGAGGCAGCCACGCAGCTGGAAGAGCCCCTGTTGCCTCGGGCTGGTAGGGATGGGAGCTGTTCCTCCGCTGGGGCTTAGGTCTGCTCCGGGGATAACTGGCCCAATCCTCCCACTCAGCCTGCTTTCTCTCTACAGCGAATCGTAGTTTCCAGTATTTCTTGCAAAGCATACCCATGTCCACGCAGCTGGACACCACGCATCCTTCAGCAGCCTCGAGCTGGGTGGGCTTGGACCTGTACACCAGGGGTGGAGCCCAGAAGCCACACGGGCCCCTTGACGGTCAAGAGAGAGGATGGCAGTGACAAATGTCTTTGATCTGTTGGCACTCACCCCCTGCCAGGCACGCACTAAGTGCATTTGTTACATCTCACTTCCTCCTCACCACACATCTTATCAGGTGGGTGCTGCTATTATTCCCAATTTAGAGGTGGGGAAACTGAGGCATAGGGTAGGTAGGTGTCTCGCCCAGGGTCACAGAGCTGCAAGCCGCCAATTTGATGCCAGAATCTATGCTGACTGACACCCCTGATGCTATGGAGAGGGAATAAGCGACAGCACCCAGTATACTGTCCTGTCCTTGGATACACATATGTTATTTTAAAGAGTTTTTAAGGGCCTAGAAGGATGGATAATAAATTCATGATACTTGTCACTGGTAAGGGAGGGAAATAATGGAGCTGGGGGTTGGGCACAAAGGAGTCTCTGATTTACTTGTGAATTCTGTTATTAAAACACAAAACATAAATAACAACATAGTATCAGTTCTCAGTTTGGGGTGGTAGATACATACTATTTTCTGTACTTTTTTCCTTAAAAATATTATTTTCTGTTTTTAAACAAAACCTACTGGCCAAAGGGAAACAAAATATTCTGTACTCATCTCTCCCAAAGTAGGGGAGAACATATATGTTACATGCAATAGACTGCAATTTCCTTCTCAGCTCTGCCAAGAACAGGCAGTGTGGGGCTGAGATGCGCCCTCTGTCTATGAGAACACGCAGGTACCTGCGAGGGGCCGTCACTGCTGAGTAATAGATGACTAGGGTTAGGTGTCCCAGTAGCTCATCCCGGCTCTTCTGCAGGGCCAGACTGATCCCAAGGTGCCAGCTGGGGGCACAGGGGCTGGGCCACAGACCGGGCAGCCAGCACCACCCTCCTCCAGCAGTCAGGGTGCTCTGTCCCTGCCCACCCCAGGCCTCGGCTCGATGGGGTGGACACGGCGCTGTACCAGCTAACAAACAAGTAATTTGATCAGCTTTCTCTAACTGGCGATAAGATCCTGACAAACCCTTTTTAATGCGTTTCTGGAGCAGGATGAAATCGTTTCATTCCGAGAGTAGGGCCCCCCGGGAGTCGCCTTGAAGCTCCTTTAGTGAGAGGTAAAAATACGCCAATCATTAATGAGGGGAGAATTACGGAGCCTTAATACAATCAGAAAGAGGAGCCCTCAGGCAGCTCGGGAATAAAACCTGCCCTTAAATCTGAGAGAGAGAGGAGGCGGCTGGAGGTAGGAAGGAGGAGGCAACGTAAACAGAAAGCGGAAGCCTCAGGCTCCACTGGGCAAAATAGTAGTTCTCTGCTGGTGTCCCCGTGGGATTCTGAGTCACATCAGGGACCCCTACCTCCCGGCAAGTGGGAGACACAGGGCGGGGTGGTAAATAAAGAGGTTGTGTTCACTGAGCATCCGCCTGGGGACAGTCCCCTCAAAACAATGACCAGCAGCTCACAGTTCCTAGAAAAAGTCAGTGACTGACTGAGGCCTCCTTCCTAGCACCGGTGTGAGAACAGGAGCTTTGAAAATTCCTTTTCTGGAGTGAAGGGAAAGATCGTTTCTGTTGTCAAGAATTCCAGGTGATAGAGCTTCAGTCAGATGAAAAAGCAAGCACCTGCCTCTACCACAACACACTCCCCATCCCCTAGAAAGTTCTCTGCATTCCACCCACAGTACCATGGAAGGTGAGAGGAGGACCAGGGGTGTAAGTAGACCAATCTTCTTCTAGAACTCCCTTGGTCAAGAGGCAGGGGTTGGAAAGACAGAAACTTTCCAAGACTTTCAGAAAATCTTTCAGAAAGACGGTGTGCTTTTTCTACCTGCTAGTGGTTTTCACAAACCCCCTTGTGTATCTTGAGCTGCCTCACGAAGGGGCAGCTCAGGGAGACTGACTCTATGGTAAAATTCCTCCACCTCCACCCACTGGACAGGCAGCCTCATTCCCACCCATTGGATAGGAAGCCTCAGTCCCAGTAACTGGACGGGCAGCCTCAGGGCCTCTGCAACTGATTTCTGTCTCTCAGGGACACCGTCAGTCAATAGCATCAGAGGGTGTCCATCCATCCTTGGAAGTTCACTCTCTCACGGCATCTCCTTCTACACTTCTCATTTGCTCCACGGCAGCTACCAGCCTCCTTGCAGTACCTTGAACACACCGGGCCCGTTTCTACCATGGGACCTTTGCACTTGCTGTGTGTGCCCTATGCCTGACACGCTCTCCTCTGGACTTTTGCAGGGGTCCCTCCCTTACCTCCTCAGGTCTCTGCTCAACCATAGCTAGGGCTCTCTGGGTCCCTTGCTTTCTTATTTCTCCATGAACTTACCTATGTTATATACTAAATGCATTTATTATCTTAGGTTTGGTTCTGTTCTGTTTTTATCTGCCCCCCTCAACACACATGAATGTTAAGATCCTCAAGAAAAAGGACTTCCATCTGTCTGGTTGACTACTATATCCCTGTGCTAGCACAGGCTAGCACATGTGTTGGGATGGATGAAGAGTGAGGAGGGTCCTTGGGCAGACTCCCCACTCCCGTTCCTGACTTTGGCCACATGGGGAGAAGCACAGGTTGTCTGGCATCCCAGGGGGAAGACGATGGAAGGGAGGGAGGAGGTGCCAGCTATGAAGCAGGAGGTGTAGGGTGAGGAGGGCAGAGAGCAGTGGGCCCAAAACCCAGGAATAAGGTCGGTGGAGCTCAAGGACTGCTGAGGGGTAGATGCAGACTCAAGGGGTCAGGGACAGCTCACAGGCCTCTCTGCCTCTCCATCTCAGATCAGCTGTCTGCCAGCCAGTCTCTATAAGACCCTCTAAAACGTCTCTCAGGAAGTTATCCCAAGGCTGGGGCTAGCCTGGGGCAGGAGAGCTGCTCGGTCAAGACTTGGTCTTGAGCCCTTGGGCTGGTCCCTTCCCATCGCTGGCCCTTGTTCCCTCTGGCTGAATCACGAGAGCGAGGCAGGAGGGCACCTCGGAGGCCCCCAGCACTGCCTTCTGTGACTCCTGGAGGGCGTGGTATACAGCCTAGATGTTGCTAGCAATGGCTATCAACTAAAAGGCTGCAAGTTTCTGCCAATGGGGTAAAAAAAAGGTCTTTGTGATCTATTTTACATGTGATAGGAGGCAGATGCCGGGTGACACAGTGTAGGTTAGAGCACAGAGTGGGGTCAGAATGAGTGTGTGCGTGCGCGTTAGTCACTCAGTTGTGTCCGACTCTTTGCCACCCCATGGACTGTAGCCCACCAGGCTCTTCTGTCCATGGGATTCTCCAGGCAAGAAAACTGGAGTGGGTTGCCATTCCCTTCTCCAGGGGGTCTTCCTGACCCAGGGATTGAACCTGGGTCTTCTGCATTGCAGGTGGATGCTTTACCGTCTGAGCTACTAGGGAAGCCCAATGCCTAGGTTTATAACCCAGCTCTGTCCTTTACTTGCTGTGCAACCTCAGACAAGTGGCTTAACCTCTCTGTGCCTGATGTTCTTCTTCGATAAAAGTGGGTTGAATAATAGTACCTATTCCACAGAGTTGTAAAGATTAAATAAGATTGTATTACCTGTATTGGCAAAATATTTAGCACCTGACACGTAAGGAGAACCTAATAAATGTCAGTGGGTGCCATTATTAATTTATCACACCTGAGATCAGAGCTTAGCTGAAGCAGGCCAGGGGCCCCCGGCAGGAACCAGCCTCATAAACATAAAGCAAGGGGGTAGAACGTGGCACAGCCCAAGCATTAGGCAACTTAGAACCAAACAGCCAGCAAGCATTTATTGAGCACCTGCTGTGTACAAGATACAATGGCAGATATAAAAGGGAGCATGGGACATCTGTTGATTTGTTTCATCTTCTCCACCAAAGTGTAAGCTATGTGAAGGTGGAGACGTGTGTTTTCTTCATCACTGTAGCTGCCGCACCCAGCACAGTGCCTGGCACATAGTTGGTCCTCCCTAAATGTTGGTGAAAATAATAGGTATGCATGGAAGCACACTGGCCCCTGTGTCCCCACAGCCTCTTTTTATGCCTCCCGCTGCAGCACCTCCCATCTAGTGAAAAGGTTCATGGCTGACCATTTTCTTTCCCCACTAGAAGGAGCGAGCAGGCAGAGCGCCTGGTGCATACAGGGTGCTCAGAGATTAGGAGGATGGACAGAGGGATGGTCAGAGGACAGCAGAAGTGCCTAGGGAGTGGTGCAGACTTGGGTAACGTGTTTGGCGAGGAAACCAGGAGTTGGTTGATGGTGATTGTTGTTGGGGTCGTGCAATCAGGGAAGGCTCACTGATGAGATGGGATGAAACCTGGACTCCCAAAGATATCAGGAAGGGGGAGTGGGCTCTCAAAGATATTGGGAAGCGTGAAGAAAAGCATTCCAGACTGACCTGGTGCAACGCTAGTCACCAAACAGGATGGGCTAGGAGGGCAGAGGGTGATCCAGTAGGGAACTGAGGTGCCGCCTCCATCAGAGAAGGGCCAGCCAATCACCAGGTAGCACCACGGTGAGGTCAGCCCAGAAGGCCAGCTCCGGGTACCCACCCTCAAGCCCGCTAGAGGCTCAGAGAAAGAAGAGTGACTCCAGGCCTGGAAGGGCGGGCAGGCTGAATCCTCTACAGCCTCCACACCGGTATGGTCCCTCACCACCCCCATGGTTCCTTGTCCTTCCTATGAATCAGCTGGAATCCTTAGGGAGATGCTCAAGTCTCTCCCAGCTTGTACCAGCCATAGCTGATGGGCACCCAAGTGTTTCTGGTTCCCCCAACCCCATGACCCGCTTTTTGAAGAGAGTCATAGCCCAGAGAGAATGACTTGCAGGGCATGGCACAATCAGAGACTGGCCCTCTCTGAAGTCGGGGAGCAATCCTGGCAGCAGAATGGGGACTGTCTCGTGGGCTGGGATGCCAGCTCCCTCCCCCAAAGCAGACCCTTCAGGGGGGCCAGCCAGCAGGGGCTGCCGTGCTGCAAATGACTCCCTTTGTCATTCTGTTTTGTTATGATTAAAAATGCATGTCGCAGGCGAGGCCCTGGAGTGGAACCCGGTTGAAAATTGAATCATTAATATTCCCCCTCCAGCTGATGCCCTGGTGCTTCTCAGACGGCTGTAAGTGGGAGGTATGCAACAGTTTCAGAGTCGGAGCAAGACGGGGAACACTGAGGGCTACACCAGGCCCCCCACCCGGGGCTCACACCCCAACCCTTGATTTAGGAACAGGTGTCAGGCCAGATCTCAGCACCTAGAATTTTCTCTCCAATACTTTGGCCACCTGATGCGAAGAGCTGACTCATTGGAAAAGACCCTGATGCTGGGAAAGATTGAAGGCAGGAGGAGAAGGGGACGACAGAAGATGAGATGGTTGGATGGCATCACCGACTTGATGGACATGAGTTTGGGTGAACTCTGGGAGCTGGTGATGGACAGGGAGGCCTGGTGTGCTGCAGTCCGTGGGGTTGCAAAGTGTTGGACGTGACTGAGCGACGGAACTGAACTGATCTGGGGCTCTGCTCACGGAGCTGTAAAGGAAACCAGTCTCTTCAAGACTGGACGTGATGGTGGCCGCCCTGCTGGCTTCCTCTGCTGCTCCTCAACACGCCGCCTGGCCTCCAGCCTTTCCACTCTTCCTCCTGCTCTTCGTTTTCTGCCTTGTCCGCTCTTCCTTCAGAGATTTATTATTCTCAGTTTTCTAATTCTTCTTATTAATAGCTAACATCGGATGGCACTTTCTGCCTGCTAGGCTTTGTTTTAGGTCTTTATGAGCTTAATTCTCATAAGAAATTCAAGGGACAGAGTCTATGGACTGCTCCATTTTCCAGATAAAGAAACCTAAGCACAGAGTGGTTTAGCAACTTGCCCAAGGTCACACAGCTAGCAAGCGGTTCCAGACTTTGTATCCTTAATCCCTGGACTTGCGCTACCAAATTTGGCAGCCACACACTGAGTCCTTGAAATGCAGTTAATCCGAACTGAAAAGGGCTGTGAGTGTGAAACAGACACCAGAGTTCAAGGATATGCTGCAAGAAGAATCTGAAATATCTCAGCAATAGATTTTACACGGATCACACATTGATAACATTTTGCCATACTGAGCTAAGTAAAATATAAAATTGATATGACTTGTTTGTTTTGACTTTTTAAAAAGTGTGGCCACTAGAAAATGTTAAATGACCCAAGTGGCCTGCGTTCTATTTCCATTGCACAGCACCGCTCTAGTCCACACGGATCCTAATTTAGCCCTCTCCCAGTTACTCAGGCTGAAGCTTAAATGTCCCCTTCTCGGAGTGGCGGGCTTCACCCTCAGAGAGAGAGTGCCCCAACCATCCTTTCATTTACTCGGGTAGCGTTGGTTCCTCCCACTAGTCACATAATACATGCTCCATAAATATTTGTGGAAAGAATGACCTGTAAAGTGGCAGCGGGTGACGGGGGCAGCACTATAGGCGAGGTTTTTTAATTTTCTTGACTCTTAACCTGAGTTGAGAGGCAGGGAACCAATGCTCCCTGCCCCAAGTCAATGACCATTGAGAGGTCTGGGGACTGGTCGCCTGTGGGCCAGACCAAGTCTAAGAGCAAGGAGACTCCTAGTCAGCACAGCCAGGGAGGCACCCCTCTTCACCTTTGGGTCTAGGAACCAGCCGCAGGGCCTCCCCTTCAGAGCTACACAGACAGGGGCGGGGCTGAGAGGGAACAAGGCTGGGCCTCCACCTACAGGTCAATGTGGAGATCTCCAGGTTAGCCCCTGGACAAGAGGACAGGCTGCTACAGAGCCCACCCCCCTCACCTCACCGCATCATCCTTCAACCTGAGAACCTCGGAGGGTCCAAGTTCAGTCTCCACCATCCCACTGCACATAGAGGGGAAAAAAAAAAAATGATGAAAGCAGGATCTTGACACTCTGAAACCTCCTCTCCACCCCCATGTGGTTTTTTCATTGAGCTATAGTTGACTTACAATATTATATGTTTCAGGTGTACAACATAGTGAGTCACAATTTTTAAAATATCCTCTACTTATAGTTATTACGAGTGCAAGGAGATCAAACCACTCAATCCTAAAGGAGATCGGTCCTGGGTGTTCATTGGAAGGACTGATGCTGAAGCTGAAACTCCAATACTTTGGCCACCTGATGCGAAGAACTGACTCACTGGAAAAGACCCTGATGCTGGGAAAGATTGAAGGCAGGAGGAGAAGAGGATGACAGAGGATGAGATGGTTGGATGGCATCACTGACTCGACGGCCATGAGTTTGAGCAAGCTCCGGGAGTTGGTGATGGACAGGGAAGCCTGGCATGCTGCAGTCCATGGGATCACAAAGAGTTGGACACGACTGAGTGAACTGAACTGATAGTTATGAAGTATTGCCTCTCTTCCCTGTGCTATAATATATCCTACTAGCTTACTTATTGGTGGCTCAGGTGGTAAAGAGTCTGCCAGCAATGCAGGAGATCCAGGTTCCATCCCTGGGTGAGGAAGATTCCCTGGAGAAGGGAATGGCAACCCACTCCAGTATTCTTGCCTGGAGAATCCCATGGACAGAGGAGCCTGGTGGGCTACAGTCCATGGGGTCGCAAAGAGTCGGAAACGACTGAGCGGCGGAACTGAACTGAACTGAGATGAAGGCTGAGCCCACCATTGCCAGTCAGGCCCCCCACGGGCCAGCCAGAATCTCCGTGCGCCCTCAGCCTGCCGGCTCACCCACCCCCATCCCACAGGACCTGCCTCCTTTCACCCCCGCCCCCACCCCCCAGTCCTGGAATTCAGTCTGTGCCTTTGCTCCTGCTGTTTCCCCATTGGGGACACCCCGGCCCTCCCCCACCTCCTGCCTCTCCTGTATTTGGTTTCGGATGGAAGCTCGGCTGGAATTCCGAATGCCTCACAGTCACCTGACGACCGCACCTGACCGAGGACCCACAGCCGCCAGGGGACAGAGGGCCTCTGCAAACGTCGGCTCCCAGGCACCTGCTTGACTGCGGGAGAAAGAGGCAGGGGGAGTGTCCCACACAGCGCAGGGGCGGCCCGGCCTGGGGCCCCCTCAGCCTCCCTTCAGGGGCGCTCTCAGCCGCCTGTGTGGCCCCTGCAGACTTGGAGGGGTCTTTGGGGTGGCCACCCACACCGTTCTGCCAACTGAAGTACAAGGCCGTTCTTTGGGGGCATTCTCAGTGGCCACCCCCGTCACCGTGTCCAGGCCGGATGCCAGTCAAGGCGCAGGGGTTCGGCCCTCGGAGAGACAGACACCTGCATCCGGGGGCCCCCGCTCTCAAGATTTCTGGGCCTCAGCCCCTCAGGCCCTGGAGAGTCACAGAGTGTAGGCTTCTCAGAGCCCAGAGCCTCTTCAGAAACCCAGGGCCCCTCCCTGCACCATGGAAAGTCCGGATGCCTTGCACCGCGTGGCTGCCGCCCGAGGGCTGGCAAGCCGGTGTCAGGCACCCGCCCGTGGGAAGTGGGTGCCCAGCCAGTGGGGGAGACGGGCGCGGGCAGGGGCGTCGCTCATTCGCTCCTCCGGTCCCCACCCCTTCGTCCGGACCCTCACCCCGCCCCGCCCCGCCCCCGGCCACGCTCCGTCCCCTCCCTGCCTCCCCGCCCCCACCTCCCGAAGGACGAGCCAAGTTATTACAATAATGAATTAGCCAAGCCGCCTACTGCCGCCACTGGCGAAGACAATTATCCCCCCGCACATCCCTAGCCACTGCCGGCTCCCTCATAAAGACAGGCTTTTGGGGCCGCTTTGTGCTTTGATTGGAAATGAAGAGATTGCTAATTAGGGAACACCTGCTGGGACCCGGGCTGGCTGGAACAAACGGCAGGACCGGGACGGACTGAGCGGCCATTTAAGGCCGGGGCTGTGTGCGCCTGAGAACACCGGGGTCGCGTGGCAACCCGCACCCCCGGGATGGGGGTGAGAGGAAGCAGGAGAGCCCGAGCCGCATGGGCAACCCAGCAATTTAACCCACCTCCCCACCCCACTCTGTCACCCCCACCTCGAAGCCGTAAACAAAACCCAGACATTTTATGGAGCTTTTCACCTTTTAAAGGATGCTAATTTGTTTATGGGCGACTGTAATTCTGCTTGGGTTTGCATAGGTCAGTGCCTGGATGCTGCCGGACACGGTTTGTGCTGTGCACAGCTGTTTCCAGCTGAGCTCGCTGGTGTGGAGGGGCGCGGCCAGCTCCCTGCAGAGGGACAGGGTTGGGGAAAGGGCGCACAGAGGTGACCTGCCGGCACCAGGAAGGCCTCGTGGCGGTGCCAGTCAAGGGCATGAGGTCACAGGGGGATTAAACCCGAGACTGACTCGATTATTTACTCTTCAGCCGGCAACCACCTCCTTCTCATTCCTTCCCTGGCCCAGGCTAAAACAAGCCCATCGGTGGCCCCTTTCCCAGAATGAAAAATCCAATTTAACACTGGAGTTAGTAGGGCCTGGTGGCCAAACAGATAGCCAGTTGTTTTTCTTCTGGCTATCTGAGGGGGAGGTCCCAGGGAGCTCAGTGGCAAAGAATCCACTTGCCTAAAGCAAGATGTGGGTTCCATCCTTGGCTTGGGAAGATCCCCTGGAGGAGGGCATGGCAACCTACTTCAGTATTCTTGCCAGGAAAAAATCCCATGGACAGAGGAGCCTGGTGGGCTGTGGGGTCGCAAAGAGTCGAACACAAGTGAGCGACTGAGTCTACAGGAGCTGAATAAGAAACTCCCAATTCTCTCCAGCCATGCTGAGCAGACAGTTCCCTTCACAACCTGACTTTTCAGTCGTTGCTGTCTCTCTGAACTGGACTCACAAAAGTGTTTTGAGTAACAATTGTGTGCACTGAGGATTATACACACACACACACACACACATTCCTTTAGGACATTCTTTTGAATGTTCACAACACAGTTTCAAGAGATCTCAGCTTTGGCAGGAAGACATCTACCTGTAAATTTCCCCGAGAGACTGTAGAAGGGGGTCCAGGGTCCAGGATGACCTGGGCTCGAGAGGTGACTTCTAGTAGGGGGAATGTGAGAAGAGGCTTCTCTGAGAAGGGGATAAACAGTCATAAATGTGTCTGTGGGAGCCGGAACACGGGACACAGGAGTGCCACCCAGCCTGGCCCGCGTTCAGGAAAATAGAGTGCTTCAGCAGAGCTAGTGCCTGGGGCTGAAGGGCAGCGAAGGGCAGGAGGGAGGTGCAGGTGAGGGCAGGGCCTAGGAGGTGTGCTGAGGGCCCAGGGGGGCCCTGGCCATGGTAGGGTTTGCACACACCCACACTTTTTTTAGGCTGCCTGCTGCTCTTGTGCCTGGATTGGGAGTATCATCCAAAGTCTTCTAGAGATGGTGGTCGTGGACCCTGACTTGGGGGTTGAGGGGGGTTCAGTGGCCTCCCAGAAGCACACCGTACTGCTGAGCCAATTCTACACTTCTGCTTCCTAAAACACAGGAGTGCGTTTGGAGTACTTGTGAAAATGCATGAGAAGTATCTCAGCAAACCCTCTGCTCTCTCCAGGAGGTGAGGATCCTCACAAAGTCCTGCATCAGCGTGAGCACTGGACCAACAGTCCTGACTACTGGCCTCTGTTTTTCCACCTACAGAATGGGGAAGTATTTGTTACTGTTTGGGGTCTCCTACAGTTTTGATACTCCATAATTCCACTACGTATTGGACAGTGTTGAGACACAGTGCAAGAAAGGCAGTTAAAAGTGTAAGTGTTACCAGAAATAAATCCTGGCAAATATGGTCAAATGACTTTCGATGAGGGTGTCAAGACCATTCAATAAGGAAATAGTCTTCAACAAACAGTGCTGGGAAAACTGGACATCCACATGCAAAAGAAGAAAGTTGGACCCTTAGCCAACACCGTACACAAAACTTCACCTGAAGACCTAAATGTAAGACCTAAAACTATAAGACTCTTAGAAGAAAACATAGGCAAAGCCTCATTACAATAGATTTGCAATGATTTCTTGAATATGACACCAAAGATGGGACAAATGGGGGGAAAAAAAGACAAATTGGAATTCATAAAGATTAAAAACTTCCATGCATCAAAGGACATCATCAGGGGCTTCCCTGGTAGGTCAGTGGTAAAGAATCCGCCTGCGAATACAGGAGACACGGGTTCGATCCCTGATCTGGGAAGATCCCACACGCTGCAGAGCAGCTAAGCCAGCACACCACAACCATTGAGCCTGTGCCCTAGAGCCCAGGAGCCCCAACTACGGAAGCCCTCACACCTGAGAGCCCATGTTCTGCAGAGGAGAAGCCACCGCAATGAGGCAGCTTCACACTGCAACTAAAGAATAGCCCCCACTTGCCACAACTAGAGAAAAGCCCACGCAGCAATGAAGATGTAGCACAGTCAAAATAAATAAAATACTAATAATAATGTTAAAAAAAACCAAAGGACACCATCAACAGAGTGAAAAGGCAACCTACAGAATGGGAAAAAATGTTTGCAAATCATATATTTAATAAGGGATTAAACAAAATATATAGAGAACTCAAAACTCAACAGCAAAAAGCCCTAAACAATGCAATTAAAAAACAGGCAAAGAACTTGATTAGCTATTTCTCCAAAGAAGGTGTACAAATGGCTGATATGCATGTGAAAAGACCATCATCCCTAATCTTTAGGGAAACACAAGTCAAAAACACAATGAGATAACACCTCACATCCATTAGGACGGCTACTGTCCAAAAAACCCAAAATAAACACATTTAAAAAGTGGAAAAACATTAAGCGTTGGCGAGGATGTGGAGAAATTAGAACCTTTGTGCACTGTTGGTGAGAATGTAATATAATACAGTCACTATGGAAACAGTATGGCAGTTCCCCAAAACATTAATAATAGGGTTACCATACAATCAGGTGATTCAATTTCTGGGCATATAATCCAGAAGAACTGAAAGCAGAGTCTCAAAGTTATCTACACATCATTGTTCATAGCAGCATTATTTACAATAGCTAAAATGTAGAAACAACTGAAGTGTTCACTGGCAGATGAAGAGCTAAACAGTTGGTGGTATATACACACAGTGGAACACTTTGTCGTTGTTCTGTGTCGCCTCTTTGCCACTTCATGGACTGCAGCATGCCATACCTCCCTGTCTTTCATGCTGGAATACTATTCAGCCTTTAAAAAAAAAAGAAGGAAATTCTACTTTATCCCACAATATGGATGAACCTGGAGGACATCATGCTAGTGGAATAAGTCACAAAAAGACAAATACTGTATGATTCTGCTTATATAAAGTAATCAAGGCAGTCTTCATCATGGAGACAAAAAATAGAACCATTACTGTCAGGGGCTGAGGTGAAAGGGGATGGGACGTATTGTTTAATGGCCACAGAGTTTCAGTTTTACAAGATGAGAAGAGTTCTGGAGATAGTGGTGAGAGTTGCACAACAATATGAGTGAACTTAAAATATCACTTAAAGATGGTTAAGATGATAAATCTTATGTTATATACATTTTATAATTTAAAAAAGCTGGAAAACAAAACAAAGCAAGAAAGGTGCAACATATACTGTCAACCACTTACTTTTTTAAATTTTTAAGTTTTTGAATATATATATATACTGTGGTTCAAATATTGAAATGTATATAAAAGTATGCAAAAAAAAAAGCATATATGTTAGAGAGAGAGACTAGCCACAACTCCTGTTGCTGCCACTCAGCAGTTGTGTGGCTTAGGAGCATTGGTTTAACTCCTCTGGGCCTCATCGTTCTCATCTGTACAATGGGGAGATTATAGCACCTGCTTCCTAGGGTTGCTGAGTTTGAGAAGGAGCAACAGGACCCTGGAGCACCAAGCACGGTGTGTGCTCACTCAGTAAAGGGGACTGCCTCTTCCTCCCTTCCCTCCTCTTCCTCCCTTCCCTGTCATCATCGCAAGCTGTATGCTTTTACATGGAGTCAGATTAGAAAAAGCCCACCCCTAGATTAGTGTCAATATCTTTTCAGTACAATTTATCAAGTATCTCTGCTTTTAGA